CGAAGTCGTTTGGGAACTGTTATGTCAATTCCCTGACTAATGCTACATAAAACTTGTTTAATAAAAGAAATACAAGTACAAGAAAAATAAACTTTAGTAAAGAACGCTATAGCTAGAATACAGAAATGTAAGTAATCGGACTCGGTTCCCAAACTCACTAATATTTCTTATATTCATAACGACATTCTGACTAATGAAACTTGTAGTGATTTGTATTTTCTTGTCCTAATAGGATAAAGCCATATACACTTTAAAACGCTACTTAAAATGACCCAACAATGATACCCAACAATGGAAAATTTTCGGGCAGTTCCTGTCCAACGCCTCCCTTGAAGAACCCCCCTTGTTTGAATTTTAAAACTACACCACTTGGCTCTTTTCCAACCGTAGTTCAATTATAGCTTAATTCGCCCGCGACTATATAGCCCTCACCAAGTCATCCAAAACACCAAAATTCAATGTGATTCAAATTATTTGCAGCAATGACGATGTCCAAGTACTTGAATTCGGCGCCAAAAAGAGCACGAGATGGCAATTTTCGGACCCTCGTACATAGGTTCCACCCCTAACGTCAAATATCTTCCAACGCCACTATTTTCGGACGCCTTATACGAAAACAAACTAGCTTGCCCGTGTGATAAAAGGTAGAGAGGCAACTGCCTCACTGTGGAGAATTTAGTCTCCTTGAAAGTATGGCAGTTCTTTATATTTGATGCCCTGGTACTTTAAGCCTCGCACAAACGAGCAATTTTTCCTTGACAAGTTTTATTTCCTCGTGTGTATGGCAAAAGCTGGTCATGCCAGCTTTTCCCTTACAAAAATTCCACATTAAAATTCATATATGAAATTGGAATTTCATATATGAAATGAAGATTTTCATATATGAAATTAGAATTTCACATGTGAAAAGGTAATTTCATATGTGAAATTTCAGTTTCATATGTGAAATTCTCATTTCACATATTAAATTTCCATATATGAAAAGCAGGTCATATATGAAATTTTAATTTCATATATGAAAAACTACATTTCATATATGAAATCCATTTCACATGTGAAATTTGGTAATTTCATATAAGAATTTCCATATATGAAAATCAAGTCATATACGAAGTTATACAATTCACTTATGAAAAACTAAATTTCATATATGAAATCCATTTCACACTGAAATTTGGTGTAATTTCATATAAGAATTTTCATATATCATATGAAAATCAAGTCATATATATGAAGTTATACAATTCACATATGAAAAAATAAATTTTATATATGAAATCCATTTCACATGTAAAATTTGGTAATTTAATATAAGAATCTTCAGATTATGAAAATCAAGTCATATATGAAGTTATATAATTCACATATCAAAAAAGAAATTTCATATATGAAATCCATTTCCCCAGCCTAGACCTAGGCCTTCTAGTCTTATTTATATTTTTTCATATTCAGCGCTTTTTCACATGAAAAGACTGGGACTAGGTGATTTGGGGGCGGGGCGGAGGAACCAAGCCTAGAAGGCCTAGTTGATTTCCCAACAACATGGCCAAAACTGCCCTGAAACTGCCCTGGTTGCGAAATGCCCAATTATTGCGTTCTCAAACAGAATTACTTGCAACTTAACGGCGAATTTAAACCGATACAGGTAAAATAAACTCATTTATAGCATAAACTTACTATTTTTATTTGTATACACGTCTAGAAAATCGGGGTTTTTATCATAAAGTTCGAAGCAACACTATTATTTAATATGTTGACATTTACTTGACAAGGTGTAGCGAAAGCACAAAATGAGTCAAAATATATACCAAAAGTAGAATCTTTCATGAAATTTTGTCTTATAGACAACTACATTAATATATATTTTCTCAATTTTGGCAAGAAGCAGTCTTGTGTTTGTAAAATATACAAACACATATACAATTATAATTTATTAAATAAAACGGATACATATATTATTAGCCCGTAGTACAGTACTGTATATAAAAACGTACATTGTTTACAAATGGTATATCGTAATATTTGAACAATAATTTCAAATTCCTCATTCCCAAATATAGTTATTCAAAGCAAAACAGTAGATTGTCTTGCGAATAAAAGAATTATTATTTTGTGCTTTCGCTTCACCTTGTCAACATAATAATAGTGTTGCTTCAAACTTTATGATAAAAACCCCGATTTTCTAGACGCGTATACAAATAAAAATAGTAAGTTATACTATAAATGAGTTTGTTTTACCTGTATCGGTTTAAATTCGCTGTTAAGTCGCAAATAATTCTGTTTGAGAACGCAACAATTGGGCATTTCGCAATCAGGGCAGTTTCAGGGCATTTTTGCCTTGTTGTTGGGAAATCCACTAAGCCTTCTATTTTTTCGCTTGCGTCAGGCTTGTATCCTTCCTCCGCCCCGCCCCCAAATCACCTAGTCCCAGTCTTTTCATGTAAAAAAGCGCTGAATATTAAAAATATCAATAAAAATAGAAGTCCTAGGTCTAGGCTGCCATTTCCCATGTGAAAGTTGGTAATTTCATATAAGAATTTTCTCATATGGAAGACTAAATTTTTTCACATATGGACGTCAACTAAATTTCACATGTGAAATTGGTAGCTAATTTCATATAAGAATTTTCATATATGAAAATCAAGTCATATATGAAGTTATATATATACAATTTACATATGAAAAAAGAAATTTCATATATGAAATCCATTTCATATGTTAATATTGGTAATTTCATATGTGAATTTTCATATATGAAAATCAAGTCATATATTTCACATATTATGAAATTATACATCTCACATATGACAATTAAAGTAATTTCATACACGTAATTCATGTCATAGTGAATTGTAATTGGAACTGGCCTACACTGTATTAAAATTCAAAAGAGTAGATTTGACCTTTTTTAACCCTGTATTTGCAACTCGATTTGAAACTACATTTACAACCGTTATGTTACAGGAGAATAAAAGACAACATGTGAAATGTTGGCAGTTCTTTGAAGATATTCCTTCTTCAAGTTTCTTGAACTTAATTCTTCACGCATTTTATATTTGATTGATTGATTGATTGATTGATTGATTGATTGATTGATTGATTGATAATAGTATTTATTCAGGAAAACCAACATCACAAGTTGTGTTTTTCAGAAGGTCCCTGAGAAAACTATACAAATACAAAAGATTATACAATAATAATATGCATGCAGGTTATATGCGATGTATATATATAAACAAGAAACGTTTTAAAATATAGAACTAAGATAATTATATATTACAAAGAAGAGCTATTTGCAAAATGCGTTCGATTATACTATGGAGATTTAAGAAGTGCAGTATGAAAACTAGCTAGATGGTTAATTGACATAATGTTTTTGTTCAAATCATTATACTCCTTTTTTTATTATTTTTATTTTTATTTAAAAATATTTAAAAACGGTAGTCCTTCAGGGCACATAGGCACCTGCTTTTCAAGGAGCCGTTTGCAAACTACTTAAATTGACAATACAAATATAAATTAATTTACAACTATTACACTACCTATATTACTAGTTGCATAGATTACTAATTACAAGAACACATCAGCTGCGGTCAAGAATAGATTTAAATTTACTAAGGCTGTTTTGTTCCTTAGCTAAACTTGGTAAGCTGTTCCATAAGGACGCAGCCGAGTAACTAATACTCTTTTTCATAAAATTTGTTACTGGCTTTCCAAGGGAGAAGTTTAATATATTGTTACTACGCAATTGATACACTTGGCTCTCTTTGATTTTAAACATTAATTTTCTATTACTGATTGTGGCATGACGTTATTTTTTATTTTGTGCATAAAAATACATTTGTTCCAATTCAGCTCTTTTAAACATCTTTAGATCTGGTTTCATATGTTCTGCCCGTAATCACCCTCGCAGTCCTATTTTGTAATTTTTGCAGTTTGTTTAACAGATAATCGGAACAATTATCCCAAACAAGACTGCAATAATCAAAATGTGACAGCACAATATAGCATTGTATACTTTTAACAAGGTTGATTGTGGAACAAATTTCTTTATTCTCCGAATCATTCCTATAGCTTTTGAAGATTTTGAAACAATACTTTGTATTTGGTCGTTCCACGAGAGGTGCTCATCAACAATGACCCCCCAAGTTTTAGATTTATTCACTCGCTTTATTGTTGAGTCACCAAGTTTGACTATAGGATCTGTTGAAATGTTTGAAATGCGTTGTCGTGAGCCAACAATCATGTATTCAGTTTTCTTTTTATTTTTATTAAGAGTGAGTTTATTCGAAGTTAGCCATTGGTGCACATTTTCTAAATCGGTATTTAAGCGTTCTTGTATTTCAGTGTCAGTTTTACCTTGAGTAGAAATATTTGTGTCATCAGCAAACATACTTGCCGAGGATAATGATAGACAGTTCGGAAGGTCGTTTATATATAGAAGAAACAGCAAGGGGCCTAAGTTAGAACCTTGTGGTATGCCACATTTAACCGTTCTTTCATTAGATGTAATTTGATCAACCTTGCAAATTTGTATCCGATTAGTAAGATAGGATTGAAACCAAGCTAGATCACGACCTCTTATTCCATAATAATCCATTTTTGTTGTAAGTATTTTATGATCTACACAGTCAAACGCCTTTTTAAGGTCAAGGAAAATAACTCCATTCAAACACCCCCTATCCATATTTAGCAGCCATTGATTTGTTGTACGAAGGAGAGATGTTTGAGTGGAGTGTTTCCTCCGAAAACCTGCTTGTTGTTCTATGAGTAAACCGTTAGATTCTAAATACGTATTGAGCTGTTCTGAAATTAATTTCTCAAATATTTTTGCAACACATGATAAAACTGAAATTGGTCTATAATTATCACATATTAATTTGCTGTCAGATTTATGAATTGGCGAGATTATAGCAATCTTAAAATCGTCAGGGAAAATGCCCAAGTTAATTGAAGCATTAAATATCGCTGCTAATGAGGGAGCTATTTCTTCAGCCGCATCTAAGTTACCTAATCCTTTCAGAACTAATTTCATAACTTGGCAGAAAATCTGTAGTATGAACATGATTGTGTAATTATAATATTTCAAGGCATGCAATTACTAGCGGCCATTTTTACTTCGGGCTGTTTTGACTTCGGGCTGTTTTGAAAGCATTCATGGAACATTAGCTTTCGAAGATATAGGGATGCAACTACCCGACTTTGATTGTTCGTTAACTTTGCAACTTCGGAATGTTTGTTGCAAAGTTTTGAAATTTATTTTGAACTTCGTTCCGATGACTTACAATCATGATTCGACAGGAGCTGATTTTATTGGCTGGTTCATTTAGCTAGCCAATTACAACTTACTAAACTTGATCATCGGATATTATCACAACAAACTTTGAAACAAATTTCAGAACTTTGCAACAAATATTCCAAACTTACAAGCTAATTAACAAATAAACTTTGGAAGTCCGTTTTCAAAAGTAAATTGAAATTGAGAGTAATTATATATAAGCCTGTCCAGTCCAACTTTCCTAAATTACAAGCTAGGTCTGACTGACACAAGCCATTTGTATAATAGATAAATCAATTTAGGTTAATATTTTATGGTTGGTGAGTGTGTACCATCTTTATATTTTTTTGTACAAGATTGCTAAACAAAGGAGTTAGTGTGATATACTGTACTGGGGTCAATGTTAACAATCGGGTTTTGTCACCCTTGACAACAAATTGGCTGCTATAGGTGGATGGGTTTCTGGTAAGATTTAATGCGGCTGGTGGACGGAATTCAATCTGGCAGTCAGACATATATGCTGTAAACCTGACAATTGGGTCAGACGATTAATTAATTGATTCATAATGAAATGTTTGCAGAGACAAGATTACTCGATTAGCAAGCTTTCCACTAGCCTAAGTAAATGCCAATGGTTAGGACATGCGCCTGCCCACTAAGGCCAACCGAAGGGTGGAAAATATAATTTACTTTCTGGCGACCACAAAAGAACATTGAAAATTTTCTGGAAATATAATCGAGTAAATCGACACTCGGACTGTGTAACACCAACAAGTTGTCAATGAAATTGGATGTCATGCTATATTTTACTGAACCAAAGAAATTTATTTCAGTCCACTGAGAATCTTAATAATACTTTAGGAATATAACATAAACATACTACATAGATAACCGATGCACCAAGGCTCTGAACCTAATTGGCAAATACAAGCTCCAAAAAAGGGCTCTACTAGGTTGTAGTATTCTTATAGTTAGTATGATAATACGAGGCATGCTCTTCAGGTTATATCAATACTCAATTTAATTTATATACAAGTGACTTCACATATTAAGTACATGACGTCAGGTTATTAACATAGGGGAACTATAGCTATCAGGTGGATTGATACTCCCCAGAACATTTTGAAACAGGGATGGATCCAGCATCCATTATCATACTAACTATAAGTAGTATGATAATACGAGGCATGCTCTTCAGGTTATATCAATACTCAATTTAATTTATATACAAGTGACTTCACATATTAAGTACATGACGTCAGGTTATTAACATAGGGGAACTAGCTATCAGGTGGATTGATACTCCCCAGAACATTTTGAAACAGGGATGGATCCAGCATGAGGGGGGTGCAAAAATTTTTAGGGACCCCTATTTAAAAAAAATTTTCCGAACAAGTATGTTGCAACTGCTTTCTAGTGACTTTACCCGCCCATCAACTTGCTCCACTACTGCAAAGTCTTGCTTGACGTACAGTATTTGAATTGTAATTGTTGTTCACAGATTGCTTATCATCATGTTATTACTCAAATTACTGAATCCTATTTTGTCTCCAATAATTTTTTGCTTTATCATGAAAAATAGCACCCCCCCCCTGGCCATGGCTAGGGGGGTGCGCACCCCCACCCCAGTAAATCCATCCCTGTAATTTGAAAATTAGGTGTCCCAGATTTGAAAAAAATGTATTCGCCATACAACATTTGTTATAAATTCATTCTACCGTCTAATACATTTAATTTTATACATTTATACACTATTACACTAAAGATGGATGCACCTTCATGTACATTCATTCATTCATTCATACTTTACTTGATAATGCAGGTTAATTACATATGTCAACTAAAAGCTGATGTGAACCTGCGAAACTAAACTAACTAATATAAAATTTACAAAATCATACCTATTTAGAAATATTTGAAGTCTTTAGTATTCTTGTTGTTATTTACAGCTGCTTCTTTAAGAAAATTTATACTATCTAAGTTTGGACTATTCCTAATTTTAGTTTTAAATGCGATTTTATTACTATCGCCTTAGCCTGCGAACAGCCTCTCAAGCTGAATTGAGAGCCTGCATCGATGACTAATGAATTTGAATATCTGCCCCGTAACGTTCGTTTTTCCAAATATGGAATGTCTATCCTCATATGGTGTTGTTTACAACTTTCGTGCAAACTAAAT